TCATTTGCAAATGACTACTGATATTTTTGTTGCTCGTTCACTTGTGAACTCTGGCAGCAGAAGGGCAAAATGAAAAGTAACACGGGTCCTGTATTTTTTCCTGAACAATCACGCTAGGTAAAGATGCACAGTGAAAGTGTGAGAAACATGCTCCTCAATTCTCTTTGCCTGCATAGAAGGTATGTTAGGCGAAATCTTATAAAACGCAGTAACTAAACTTCACAGTTCCGATTTCGGAGATATCCAACTGCCAGCAGCCAAAATGACATCCGGTTTAACACCAATCGAGCGCTAAGAGTTACAGCGTCATGACTGGCAGATCAAAGAGATACTGTCAAAAGGGAATGATACGTTATCGTTGTCAGAGAAAGATGACCCAAGAGACCGGACGGAATGATTAAGAGCCAAACTTTGCATCTATCCGTAAGAGAATATGCCACATAATGAATTCGTCTACCCTGTGGTCGAACGAATTCAGCTCATAATGGAACTACTAGGCTTTCAATGGATGATGTGCAGAATCTCTCGTTCTCAATAATGAATATTCGATTAAGTAAGTGCAAACAAATTTGATGCCCCATTAGTACCTTGAAGTCAATGGTTCTCGTCAAAAAATGACATTACCGCCATCGCGACATTTGCCTTCGAAAAATATTTTGATTTATTGATGGAAACGTTAACATTTTATGGTGCTCTACAACTTGGTTCGTTTATAATACGAGAATTAGTAAGCTGAATGTGCAGCCTATCGAAAAGCTGCGGACAATACTCCCATCCGCATTCTTCTGGCAAAAATGTACTGATTCTCGTCATATGCTTTCTGTTCAAACAAATGTTTAGGATATTTTGATTTTGTTCCTTTGGATAACGCCATAATCATACTCACGAAGAACTTGTTTTTGCTTGTACTTGTCAAAACCTAAATTTCGTAAGATTTTCGTCTACCTCAAGTACAGGAGAAATATATCGTACAACTCCATTCACGGCTCTATTCGCTGGCCAACAATTCCAGTGACGTTCAAACAAGACTACTGTAATAGTAAAATTTTCATTCAGTTTCGGACTACGTAGAATGTCGCTAAATCGACCTGCAAGTAGTTTACTTTACTTTTAGAGTAGTACTTTTCGACTCAGTCAGAGCAAGAGCTGCTGATCGTTAGTTTCAAAAAAGTGCTTGATACACATCTAAGTATCTACTGTTTCGACGAATATTTGCAGAATTTCACTCAAGAAGCGCAAGCACAAAGCCTCATTCCTTCTGAGTAATCGCTGACGAAGAAATTTTGGTGCCTGTACCTGAATAAAACCAAATTTGCGCCCCTACTCCACCCATGTGAAACCATACTGAAAACGCAGCCAGGAAGGACAAACGACGAACTTACGTAAAGAGGAGGTGAAACTATTTATAAAACAGAGGAACAAACCATCACCTTTTCCGCATCCTGCTCAAACAGTTTCAGCTGAAAGCACTGGTCTAGTCGCACTTTGCGCTTCTGCCACAGGGAGTAGAGATTTTCGCGGGTGGTACGCAGGTTGTTCAACAGCGCGGAAACGTGCGGTCCTGCACACGTGAAATCCGGATTGCACTGGGAGTCTCGTCCGCCAGAACCATAATCAGAGTCGGAAGCGCCGTTTGTCCCGCTGGCGTCATCGCTCGACCCCGTTAACCGATGTATCAGCTATAAACGATAACCACATACTGCAGAAAACCGGTCGCTTCGTCTTGGCACAAAGAAAAACAACAAAAACCTGCAACGATTTTGTAACTCACTGCCATATCGTGTTTCTTCAATTTGGAACCAACCATTTCTTCTTATCCCATTGTTAATAATGAAAAATATCATAAAACAGATTTACTTATATACTGCGCAAAAGACACTGTGGTCAGTCTGTTGACTAATCAATACCATCGTTTCCATCTGTCTCATGGGCAAAATTTCGTGAAGATGGTCGGTCGACCGCAGCAGTCGATAGTTTAGGAGTCAGGTGACACTGTTACTGTTAATTTACTATAAACAATAAGAACATTTACAGGATTTAAGAGATTTCGATGTCAAACTTGTTTTTACACTCCCATGTTGTGTCCACAGTCCATGGGAGGAAATAATCCCCGCTACCAAAGTTCACATAAGAAGAGATTAATTTACTTTAATATCTCAATGTTTTTCCACGTTTCATATAATGCAATAAAAATCTAATTAATAACCATTGTTTTACTAAATGTTCATACAGCATTCTCACGCACAACAGCATGTAAGACCCTCATCCATTAAGCTAGAAGGCATGACCGCAGTGTTCAATTTAATGGTGTCCATCGGATGGCAAGCGGAGTCATACGTCTTATGACATCCGCAAAGGAAGTATTCTTAAGTAACTGCAGTTCAGCCACAAATAGGTCTTTCCAGACGATATCCTTGATTGGGATCCCATAAAAGAATTTTTTGAGCGACTGATGTTTGCCCTTCTACATGGTATCATCAAAGCACGAAATTCGTCGTTCCTGGAGCAGTGAAAGTTCCATTTTAGCTGGTACTTCCTCGGTACTCGTTGGAACCATCGAACGTTGACGATGGAGCATAAACAGCATTGTTGGAAAGGCGCTTAGATGACGCCAATGTCTTCGGAAAAGTTGCCATTTCCAATATGATGGAGATGATATGAAGATGTTGATTTTCGTCACCAACTGGATGCTCTGATGACCGCAGATATTTTCTAGACTTCCAAATGCGGCAGCTGCTATTCAAAAACAGTTCTATTCAACGTCACATCGCAGCGGCCATCCTTCATAACTATTGAACCAACTGTGGTGGAGAACTTTGCAGTGGTCAACTCCTTTCAATCCTTCGCCATTCGATGAGAAAGCGGTTTCTATAGTTCCGTTTGCCTTCATCATTTCTGCTTTCTTTCGATCGAGCCTAACACCTGTTCTTACAGTTTCGACTTGAACCGCCTGTTACTAGCATGGAATTGCTTAGCAGTATCATATCTTCTGCATAATGCAAGTCCGCGAAATATATGACTGGTTACCTTTAACTCAAACTGGGACCTAACGCCAATCCCTCTCCAGTCCCTGACTGTTAACGCTTATCTATATCACCAAGTCGACGACTTGATCGAAGAGCACTGGTGACAGGACATCGCCTTGTATCACGGCATTTCTGATTTTAAACTAGTCCGATAGTTCATCTTCCCTCATCACAACACGCACAGCGGCATTGTACATGTTTTCAAACATAACCATTAGGAATACTGTAATAACGTAGGACGTTCCACATCGTGAGTCGATGTACCGTATCAAACGCAACTTTGCAGTAGATAAAAGTTAGTGCCTACGACACTGCCCCACAATTATGCGAAGCGAAAGTATTACGGTCACTGCAAGATAGCCTTTTCTAAATTCCGCTTGATTCTTGTTTCTTGTTCACTTCATCCATCAGATGTTCCTGAATAATGAGAGAGCTAGATATCTTCTCAGGTCTTGACTGCATGTTATTCCCGTGTAATTTACATATCTGACCGGCGCACTGTAACAGAAAAGTAGAAAAACCCTGACTTCCTGACCGACAATCTATAGGATTATCTGGATATGGGTCCTAAATGTTAATTAATCGAAAGACGTATCACTGCTTTGATAGCGCGCTTCTTTCTGCAGAGCTGAATCATCTTTAGTTCCGTTTCATTTTTTACATGAGCGAACGCAAGATTCTTATGCCGCAGCATTAAGCCAAGTTAGTTATGTGATGTTGCATCGTTTCGCAAGTTACCCTTTTCCGCTACGTCAGGCGCAAAACACAACTTTTTAGAAAATTGTTTGCTCATTAGCTTACACAGCTGCTCAATTACTCATAAGATTGAGTATTTTAATTGTACTCTGCAGTTACAGTAAAATAAAACAAAAGAATATTGGTTAATACACAACACAACGAACAGGTCTATCAGAAGAAAATCAACTACCAACGTTTCGATCTGTATCTCAGGGCACCTTTTTAAACCAAAAGTTGCAGGGGCTTTCTGCAGCTGTTGAGGTCGTCAGCGGTAGCAGGTCGATTCTGAGCTAAGAGACCCAGAATGTTAGCTTGAAGAATGTCCACAAAAATCAGGCAAATGCGCTTTGACTGACCATTTGTGTGTTGTTTACTAATAAATCGTCTTTACGCTTTACATCACGCACTTGCCTGCCTAACTACCTACCTAATTACGTAGTTACTTCTTAAATAATTATTATTAAGTAGTAGTAATAGCTACTCAACTGCAATCTGAATTAATTAGCATACTTACTGACTCACTATCAGATCGCCTGACCAAGTTACCTCGCTATATGCATGATAAGTCGTCTACTTAATCATTAAATCGTTCACTATCCATTTGCTTGCCTAGTTACTTATGTACTTATCAACTAAGGTAGTATTTACCTACTTATTTACTTAAGTCTTTGACTGTTTACTGTTTTCGTGACTTGCGTCACTGACCACTGATATACTTTTAACACTTAACATAACATGCAATTTAAACACTTTATAGAGCTAGAAATGGTGATGTCATTATTATTTGATATTTTTCAATACAATTCCCTAGTTTACACCATGTTCATGCTGGTCCGTTTCATACCGCGTTTCCTTCCTGCTCTAGCTGTTCGATGGGCGCCTTGCTGATCTTCGCTTTAAGCTTGTTGTGTTCGTCGATGGCCGCCCGGGCCTGTTCTACGTCCATCGTTAGATTCGTATCCTGTACAATCTTTTGGATGGAATCGAACGCGTGTAATACGTCCATTGAACGCCATATAAAATTTTCGAGGGCCTGAAATGGAACCAGGCGATATAGAAAAAACAAATCAGGTGTTTCATTTACTGTACGAAAAACTTTTTAACGCAAAATGCTGATTTTTTTTTCATATTTCATTAATGTAAACGGGTCTATGATTGGCCTGATGTATTCGTATTTTTAAAAAAAATATTATTTTTAACGGTTGATCCAAGAATAATTCGCCACGATGGCACTACTAAATAACAAAATAAAAGTTCTGAAAGTCATGCACTGAATGTCAGTTCCCATATCTGGAAGGGAACGTGGACAAATCGGCAGTGAATCACGTTTTCATAATCGATATATGAAGATCTGCATGGGTAATCGTTTCTTTACTTACCGCCACCAACTGTTAGGAGATAAGTAGTTTCGTCTTACCGTTTGGTCATCGCCGCTGTGCTAATGGGCCCAAGCATATCGAAGATCAATTTACATCGATTCGCCTACATATGTTTAATACTTTCTAAAGCTGGTGCTCTTTTAGAGCTTCATAAGATAATGAAATTGTAAGATCGTACTACATTATGTGTTAATATGGCACTTGGCTCCACTGATCATCAGATTTCCCGGTGCATTACCGCATCCTTATTCCTTCGTGGCAAGGGACCCATTTAAGCAGAATAATAAAGTTTATGAAACCACCAGTGATGTGCAAGAAGTTGCACTGGTCAGTAATATAACATGAGATACATTCATCGTTGCAGCTCAAATACGATGCAGCCACCGAGTGCTCATATGCTTCCAAAGAGCTAGTTGAACACAAGAGCGACGCCCACAAAAACCTAATGTGAGGTCTCACCGTCCTACCGCTGTTGCCTCGAAAGAGGTATTAAACGTTCTGAGACGCCAATTCTCAATATTATATTCAAAAGAAAGGCCACCAACCATAGGCATCATCAGCAAAAAAGGCTTACTAACCATATGGGCCATTGTTTTATTTTATGATGATGATCGGTCAAGCATGATTTACGCTACA